GATTTTTTTACTCATTAATGATGGTTATTTTCTCATTAAGACTAAAAAAGTAACAAGTAAGGAAGTCACATAATTATGCTTTAGCACACGCCTCTTAGTGTGTACGCACTAACTTTTAGGTATTAGGTATAAAATTTTTAGGTAGTATTTTATGGTAAAGAAAAAGCAGTTAATTCTTAAGATCTTGATCAGGATAATCCGTCAAATTTATCAAATTATTATAAAGTCATCGGTTCTTGATAAGTGTGTGGAGTTTTAAGTACACACACGTTTACACAAGACCAACTCCCAAGGCCAATAATTCTTAGGGGGCAGTTAAAGGGCGATGACGTATTTTTCTCGGTCGGTCTTGTTAGTAGTCACTTAAGATCTGAGGGCCGGGTGCAAATTTATTTCACATAGACTCGCTCCCGACGGCAAGCGCGTTTATCGTTGCGATTGGTTTAGATTTTAGTGTGGGCCAATTGTAGCGCCGAACGCGGTCATCGTGACGATCGAGTAGAAATGAAATAAACTCGCAGTTGGCCCTCAGAGGGCCGGGTGCATATTTATTTCACATCGACTCGCTCCCGACGGCAAGCGCGTTTATCGTTGCGATTGGTTTAGATTTTAGTGTGGGCAATTGAAGCATCGAACGCGGTCATTGTGACGATAGAGTAGAAATGAAATAAACTCGGACTTGGCCCTCAGAGGGCAGAGTGCAGATTTATTTCACATCGATTCGCTCCCGACGGCAAGCGCGTTTATCGTTGCGATTGGTTTAGATTTTAGTGTGGGCCAATTGTAGCACCGAACGCGGTCATTGTGACGATCGAGTAGAAATGACATTAACTCGCACTTGGCCCTCAGAGGGCAGAGTGCAGATTTATTTCACATCGACTCGCTCCCGACGGCAAGCGCGTTTATCGTTGCGATTGGTTTAGATTTTAGTGTGGGCCAATTGTAGCGCCGAACGCGGTCATCGTGACGATCGAGTAGAAATGAAATAAACTCGCAGTTGGCCCTCAGAGGGCCGGGTGCATATTTATTTCACATCGACTCGCTCCCGACGGCAAGCGCGTTTATCGTTGCGATTGGTTTAGATTTTAGTGTGGGCCAATTGTAGCGCCGAACGCGGTCATCGTGACGATCGAGTAGAAATGAAATAAACTCGCAGTTGGCCCTCAGAGGGCCGGGTGCATATTTATTTCACATCGACTCGCTCCCGACGGCAAGCGCGTTTATCGTTGCGATTGGTTTAGATTTTAGTGTGGGCCAATTGTAGCGCCGAACGCGGTCATCGTGACGATCGAGTAGAAATGAAATAAACTCGCAGTTGGCCCTCAGAGGGCCGGGTGCATATTTATTTCACATCGACTCGCTCCCGACGGCAAGCGCGTTTATCGTTGCGATTGGTTTAGATTTTAGTGTGGGCCAATTGTAGCGCCGAACGCGGTCATCGTGACGATCGAGTAGAAATGAAATAAACTCGCAGTTGGCCCTCAGAGGGCCGGGTGCATATTTATTTCACATCGACTCGCTCCCGACGGCAAGCGCGTTTATCGTTGCGATTGGTTTAGATTTTAGTGTGGGCAATTGAAGCATCGAACGCGGTCATTGTGACGATAGAGTAGAAATGAAATAAACTCGGACTTGGCCCTCAGAGGGCAGAGTGCAGATTTATTTCACATCGATTCGCTCCCGACGGCAAGCGCGTTTATCGTTGCGATTGGTTTAGATTTTAGTGTGGGCCAATTGTAGCACCGAACGCGGTCATTGTGACGATCGAGTAGTAATGACATTAACTCGCACTTGGCCCTCAGAGGGCAGAGTGCAGATTTATTTCACATCGACTCGCTCCCGACGGCAAGCGCGTTTATCGTTGCTACTGGTTTAGATTTTAGTGTGGGCAATTGAAGCGCCGATCGCGGTCATTGTGACGATCGAGTAGAAATGAAATAAACTCGCACTTGGCCCTCTGTGGGCTTAGTGCAAGTTTATTTCACATCAACTCACTCTCGAAGGCGAACGCGTTTAGCGTTGCGATTGGTGGAGAATTAAGTGCGACACAATCGCAACGCCGATCACCGTGACGAGCACTTGGCCCTTATACTATAAAAATACTATAAAAAATACATTTCCTAATTTATTATTAAAAATTAGTTATTGACCATTGACAAGCTAACAAACGTCTACTACGATTAATAGCAGTCATTAATGCAAGATGTGATTTGTTGTATATTATTGACTAATAAAATCGTTATTGGAAGTTGCAATTGCAAGCGCAGTTACTCAACTTACAGTTATCAGCTACAAAATTCAACAGGAATATTGTCATAATATAAAAAACAACAAATTAAAATCTAACTTTTTTAACTAATTGTGTTGTTCGCACACTAAGTCTTCTCATCATAATTGTTTTATTAACTTTATTATTCATACAGTGGAGGTTGTTTAATTATTTTTTAATTTACCGCCGGGCAGTTCTTTTGAAGAATTTGGTATTTGAATAAAATGTTGTCACACAAAAGCTTTTCGATACAGAGATGTTTTTGAATTCTTTTATAAAATAACTCTATACGAACTCCGTATGTCTTTAAAATAAATTTCAATGAGTTTAAACGAAATAGGCTACCTCCTTGATGTATATGTAGGTCTACGTAAGCATTTTAAATTCTTTGAATAGTGATTTGCATGATTGCCACTGTGATATACTGGAAACTGCTGTATATAATATCACTATACACTTTTTTGCGCAAGAGTGTATAACTAGAATTATTTTATACCATAATTCCTAATAACCGTAGCATTTATTAGCCGTAATAAACAAATGTTTTATTTAATTTAGTTGATGTATGCACCCTCTTTTTTATAATTATGGGTCTAAGACGAGTCTTAATAATTTTGTTTGCTCTACCTTAAGTGCCTTAAGCTTATCATAGGTTTAGACTAATTCTTTAATTTTTCCGTATTATTTATAATTTATATCAGCTTTTTATTACTTCATACTACCACTACTAGAACTTCATTACATCCATATATATTATATATATGATAGCCCAGGAGCTAAAGGATAAAATTTCTGACTGACTGTCAGTTTGCTTTCCATCATTCAAATATGTTTTAACGTAATTTACAGCAAGTCTTCAAATTCAGAACCTGTCAAGTTCTTCCGATAATTATTTTTGATACACGTAGTCAAATGCTCTCGTCAATTTACTGATTATTACTGTCAACAGTTTACCAGAATCTAAATTATCAATAACAGTACAATAGTACACTGACTGCACGGATGGCGTAGTGGTTTAACCGGTCGCCACGCCGCTTCCTACTACGCCGAGTATTGTGGGTTAAAACCCCACATGGAACGACACTTTTTGTGATCCACAAATTGTTTTTCTGAGTCTCGGTGTTCTTTGTATCCGTTTCATGTATGTTTGTAAAGTCCCCCGCGACACAGGATATATTCCTAATGCGGGAGTTGTCTTTTAATCAAATACAACAATAACTAAGCTATCAACGACGGTCTGATGATGTAGTCAGGAAAAAGATGTAATCTGGGTCTCCATTAAATTATAAATCAATACACGATGATCTGATAAGTATAGATTTTTTTTTACTGCTGTTGATTTATAATGTGGAAGGGAAGACTGTTGGTAGTCAAAAATCTGAGACACACTTTCTTTGCTATTGCATCATATTCTCTCTTAGATTTATACTATTTAGAGCTACAATCCTTTTATGAGCTTAATCAAAGCTAAGTGGTTTTCATAAAAAAGCTTTTGCATATCAGTTTTACAAGATTAGCATTAGTAGTATGTTTTATAAATATTTTTAGATTTGCATAAACTTTTTCTGCTCCTTGAGAAGCATTACTAAATGTATTCTTTTAAGATTTAATTTTAAGTATTCCATCCGCTTAGAGGCTTCTAATTCTTAGGTCTTAAAGTCTGGCAAGTTTCTTTGGTTAGGTTTTTGGTCATTAATAAACTAGTTCTTAATGGCAAAAGAATATAACAAATTTCTTTCATTTTATTGGTACTAAAATTAGTTTTGTACCTAATTTTAAACGAGTGTTTAGTTAAATTAATATTTAGGTATCCTGCTCAAATATATTGCGTTTATTGGTAATTTTATACATCATGGGTTCGAGTTTTATACAAAAACGGCTACAATTCAAATCTAGTATTCTACACAAGCATATCATCATGATTCATCATTTTCTGAATAACTAAATCAGTCACCCAGCATCCAATATGTCTTTCCATTTAGTACTCTGACCTATTTATCCTTATTTCAACTGCCTGAATTGATCCGTGATGATGATTTTAATAGCTATAGTACAGAATACAAGATTCATTTTTGCTCCCTTAGTTACTAGTATGACAGATTTTATATTTAGGGCTTTTGAAACGACGTAACATTACTAATAAAAAAAGAATTTTGAAAATCGGTTCACAATTGACGAAGTAATCGATGAACATACATAAAAAAAAAAAAAATACATACAGTGGAACATAGAACCTCCTCCTTTTTTGAAGTCGGTTAAAAATTAGTATTTGTTTTAGCAATTTTCAATGACGACGCGGTAGGTATTATTTTATTCCAACTATCAAAAGCTCAAAATTTCTACACAGGCTATTGTCGATGTTAAAAGTTACGAACTAGTTTTATAACAGTATTAAATACTGAAAGGATTTTAAACTGGTTTAGGAACCAGCTTTGATCATGTTATGTGTGTACCTTTTTGTGAGCTGATTTATTAGAAAATTAAAATCATTTTAGGATAATTTAACTTTATTTAGATTGTTTAAAAATGAAGTCTGTGAACTTTAATTTAAGCTCAAACAGTTCCCTAAGACCGAAAATATTGGACAGAATAATGTGCCCTGTATTTTTGCAGTCTAGCGAAACAGACTTATATTTATCATTTTTGTTTACTTATATTAAATATGATTAAAAGATAAGATTAATATATTACATTATATATTTACGGGTAGTTAAATTCTATATTTTTTCAGCACACAATGGAGGAGATACCGTATCATCCATTGATTGAGGTGACAAATGATGGCGTCAAGAAGGTACGGCAGATGTGTGATGTTGGTGATCTGAAGCGTATCAAAGAAAGTGTAGACGCTGTTGAGGATTGGGTCAAGAAACAGGACCACTTAGCTGGGGCCATACCTTATCTTTGTAAGTATCATAATAGTAATTAAAACACTCTTCATTTTTAGAAAAGAGTTTTGATGTTGTTTGGAAGCAGATCAATTGTAAATTTTGGAATATTATAAATCTTAAATTTTAATATTAAGCATATTAAGAGGATGTCGAGTGAATAAAATGAGAAAGAAAACTCATTGAACCTACCCAAAAATAGTGAGTGTTGTAGAATCCCCTGGGGGATTCAGAAAGGGGATTCAAGTGGAAAGAGCCAAATAAATTAAGTACGAGATAAGGGTACATCCTGATGATGATGATCAATATATTATATGATTATAGATAATCCTTATGAGAATAGAGAAACGATAATCATAACATGGCATAGGTTTGAAAACATTCGTGTGTGGTCCAAACTACTTTTAAGTTACTGCCAAGACTGTTAATAACTTGTGGTAGCAACATGCTTTTCTGTATTTGTATTAAAAAGGTTAAAAATAACTATAATGGCATAGATAAATTAAAGAGAAAATGATATTGAAAAAGCTCAAATGAAATTAAATTTTGTTGTGGATGTATCTTATCTAAATGGATATATAAAATTAGTAATTATTTATTTTAAAAATAGTCATTCCAAAAAACACTACTTTTAATGACTTAAATAATAATTTTAGAAGTAAAGTGAACTAGACTTTTCGACGTATTATATTTGTTTAAAAAATATCTCACAAATAAATGAAAGATTATGAAAACAGCCATCATGTTTTTAAAATCTCAAGCAATCACTGAACAATACATCACATCATATCAACAGCCTTTGCTAGTCCACTGCTGGACAGGCTAGGCCTCTCCTTAGAAAGGAGGTTTTGGCCTACTATGAACAATGACAATAAATATACACACTGAACAATAAATATTCCTAAAACTGTACATAACATCCTTATTCATTCTAGTCCATCATAATCTTCTTAACCTTATCATCTTAATAGTTATAACGGAAGGTTTTTTAAAACTATCTTTCATTACTAAATAAAACAAGTTAGATTAGCGTATGTCACAAAATGGATTTAATGTTAATTTACCACGGTTTTCAAAAGATTATATATTTTTTACAACACGCACCACCGTCGTGACCAAATCCGATTTCTACACAAATGTTGCCATGAACATCGTATTACAGATTAACTAAATATAAGAAATCATGTCAAGGGTATAAGTAAAAGTAGTCTCTATAGATAATATGTTTCATAACCACTTAACTATAACATTACTTTTTTATCATGCATCCGCGTAAGTAAAAAATTGGGGTATGTTGGGGAATTGATAAAGGGGAAGCAACAGGTAATCCTAGTATGGATATGTGACGAGTAGAGAACAAAAATGTGACGAAAAAAGTTTTAATTATGGAAGTTGACGGATATAAGAGTAGAGGACGACCAAAGAAAAAATAGATTGTAAGAGAATTTGACTAGAACTGGAGTAAGCAGTCAATTGGCGAGTGATACAGGAGAATGGAAGAGGATAAATGATTGCGAGGACCCCAAATAAATTCGGGAAAAGGGTAAGAAGATGATGGATGAATTTGGAATATAGGTAAGCAATATCTCAAACTGATCAGGATCGGATTAGCTATATCCAAGCCCAAGAAGTCTTCAAGCCTTTTCCTAAATTAGATTGGGGTCGACTTTCAGTCAACTACGACACGGCTGAGCTCGATTTTACATGGAGTGCTATCAGACCTCCGCAACCTAGGTACTATCATCAACAGCCTTTAATCATCCACTGCTGGACATAAGCCTGTCTTTAGAAACGAGGTTTTGGCCTACTATACCACACTGGCCAGACGATAGGTACTAGGCGATATCAAAATTCTGTACTGATTGTTGTCGGACTTTTTGGGACTTTTACTACCCGTAATGATCGCCACAGATGTTCATATGGCAACCAACCGACACGGCTTAACGTGCTCTCCATGACTATTTAATTTATTAGATTATATTTTTTTTCAGCCAAGACCATTATAGAACGAGTTTTTATTATTGCCAAGGGTTCAGTGGAATTAACAAAAAAGAGGGTAGAGAGACTGTTGACGACACGAGGAATGATGCCAGAACTTTGCTTGAACAGGACCGTTGAAGAGTTTGAAACCCAATGGGATTGTGTGTAAGTATTGTCTCAAATTCGGTAACAGTAAAGCATTTAGTCTAGACTTTACAGTTTACACTTCTATGATTTATTTATTTTCTATTTAATATTTTGAATTTCCATGTTTCTAATAAAAATAACTATAAAAAACCTATAGAAAGATGTTATAACTGTATTTTGGTATAAGGCGGTTTTAGCCTAATATCCTACGTTGGCCATTTTCCATCTCTTTGGAGGGCTGTTGTCCTCCTATAGTCAGGTCTTACGACACCCACGGGATAAATTGGGGAAGTGAAACTCCGTATTCTTAATCCATCACGCAACGGACACTTTTCATTATTATTATGTTTATTATTTTATAATACACAAATGTAAAGTCAATAACTAATAATAATAATTATTATTTCACACATCTCACACACGGCCGTCTGATCCCAAACTAGGCAGAGCCTGTACTATGGTAATCAGACTGCTGATAAACATACTTATATATTTCTAAATACATACATAATATAGATAAATTACACCCAGACACAGAACAAATGATCGTGCTCATCACACAATTATTTGTCCTGGGTGGGAATCAAACCCACGACCTCCGGCTTAGCAGTCAGGGTCACTAACCACTAGACCAACAGGCCCGTCGTCTAACTAAATGGTTATTGTCTAGTCTAGTACCATTTATGGTGAAATGGTAGATCATACAATTATAACGCCAAATACAGGTTGGTTACCTGCTCAGGGCAAATATTTGTAAGCATAATAATTATGCTTAAAAAGAGAAGTGTTTTGGAAATTAGGACTGGACAATATATATATATATTTCTAAATCTCTTTCAGAAATTACGTTCCTCTGCCAAAGCTGAACCCATCGGATATGGCCAGAGTAATGATAACCCAGTTCACTACAGAAAAGCTGGAGCCATTCAGCATTTTGACTTATTTTAGATATTGTTTCTTGGTAATTACAAAATTTTATTAAGCTTTTTCTTTGAAGATAATTTAAAGGCGATGTCTTTTTACATTTAACATCAATTGATATTATTTATATGAATGATAAAATAGAATAGAATATTATTTATTTCATATTTTATTTATGAGAAAAATAATATTCTATTCCATTCTAAAAAACTCCTGATAAAAAACGTAGGGCAAGTGTTTTTCCACAGAAAAGTTATTATGTTCTTCGATTTTATTCTCATTACTCGTAGTACAAAATTTTAAATTAAGTTAATATTTTTATAAGTACAAGAATAACGTTAAATATATTACAGAGTATAACAAAACTATATGAATAATAAAATCAGTAACTTACTATCTAAATAACTTGAAAACATTAATATGCACATTAAATGGCAATTCTAAATCGCGGTGCTAGAGAAAGATCCAACCATTATAGCCGGATCATGAGTGATCAGTGGAGCGGCTGCTTTGAGGCTTTCATAAACTACATTTTTATTCTCAAAGCCTTTCGTTCGTCATTGATCTGAAGATTAGAAAATTATACGTATTGTTATGCAATATTAAGTGAGTTAACGTTTTGCAAATCTGCATTTCAGTATTTAGCTTTGTTAGACATCACGAATGGAACGATGTTGATGGTAGGTGTGTTCCTGTTGATTTGCTAATGACCAAAAAACGGCCATGGCATGTGTAACTCCATTATTGAAGTTAACCTTTGCTGCTTACAGGTCAAACTGAAGATTAATTATGTTCCGTTGCTAATGTATAACCGTCATAGTATTTTTGTACGACCATAGGTTAGTTAGATGATAGACAATTGTTCTTGTAGTAATACCAACACTTTTAAAGGCCAAACCTTGACCCGTCTGTTGAATATCTAGTAAATACTATTATTATTTTTTAGTTTGTAACTGTATATATTGCAGTTACTTTTAATTTTAATATCAACGGTTATAATTTTAAATCATCAGAATCCATACTAGCAGACAAAAGTTGTAGCAAGAATGAATTACTCTAATGCCCCAGCATAGATTTGTATGTTCTTGTAGTTCATATTTTAATTAAATAGTCCTATTTAGAGTAGTATACGATGGTAACTCGTATTATTTATATTTCAGATAGGAGAATACAGGATAAACTACGATTACACTCCGTCCGAGCGTTTTATTATTGATCTCACAAATATACATCTTGGCCTGCTCAGTAAATTGAACCCTATTGTCATCAAGAAAGCGGAAGTTCTATGTACAGTACGTATTGTATTTGTTTAATCGTATCAATTTCAATTTGAGTAGTATGAGTTCATATCCCTTGGAATATTGGTCATTTTGTCAATCATTTTTACGATGTAAAAAATCTATCCGCCTGTATTCCAGACTATAATCTATTTCTGTGATAAATTTCATCTAGACCTGTTCAGACGTTCTGCTGTGATTGAATTACCGAAATTCATCCAAATTTCCACATTTATTGTACTTAAGAGTATGATTAAACAGAAATTTACATCCCACAGGAAGGTATCGGCACTAAAATCAAAGGAATCCACATTCTAAACGCACCACCGTTCATCGACAGACTGGTCTTTCTTCTTAAGCAGGCTCTAAGGGAGAAAGTTGCGAACAGAGTTCATGTTCACAGTTCATATGAAGATTTACATAAACATATGCCTAAGGAGATACTCCCTAAAGATTATGGTGGTGACGAACAATCGATTTCAAAATTGAGTAGTAAGTATTCTGAGATAAACACTGTAGATTAAATAATAATATTTATTGTGTACGTAATCCCTTAACTATGGATTGGTGTAGGATTAGGAAATCGGACGGACGGACGGGGTGGGTTTCCCCTCCACCCGCATTAGTTTGGCCAGCCGCGAGGGGGCGGCGTCCGCGTGTGCCGCGGAAAAACATTGAGACGGAGCCCGCACCAGGAGCGGGCTGGCGCTAGGAGGGGTCCGGATGTCTTAACAACAGCTGTTCCCGGATCCCTCCTGTTACAGGCGCAGAGTGGCACACCGTGTGGTTTTAGTCGGTCCGAGTCCGACACACCACCCCGCCGCAAACCCCGGAGGGGTGACGGTCCGAGGGGATTTCCACACGTTAAAAAAAAAAAAAAAGGATTAGGAAATCGGGGTTTCTGTATTTTTAAATTGTGTTCAACCTGAAGGTACTTCTTTTTCTAAATTAACAGTTACTATACCATCATCATCATCAACAGCCTTTAGTAGTCAACTGCTTTACATAAGCCTTTCCTTCGAAGTAGGTTTTGGCCTACCTACTATACCACGGTGGCCAAACGGATTGGTACAGAGTTTGTTTCAAGTTTTCCTTCTCTTTGCAGTACTCTTGTCCTGCGTAATTTGCTTTTTTAGTCGGCTAGTTACTTTATACCTTAATAAAACAATTGAGATTAATTGTGGTATGTAGATGTAATAACAGATAGAATACTTGCACAAAAATTTCAGTTATATTTTCAGTTTCAACAAACCTTTGATAAGGATAATTGAAAAAAATGGAATAAAACTAGTTAAAAAGCTTAAGTACATCAAAAAATTAAAACTAAAACACCTTAGCTTTAAAATGGTTTTATGCAAAAATGTTTCTAAAAAAAATATATTACTTACCTGATAATTATGTGAAATATTCTTCTTTGATATTGTGACCGTAAAACGATTAACGTTTCACTTAAAGTTATCTAAAATTGTCCTAGAAAATATTGCTCTTGCTATGAAGATATCCATTGTGGATTTTATGGGGTGTAAGTCCAACATGCCGATATGTGACCCATCTTCCCCCATCTTGAACACTGTGACAGTACTATGAAGTTTCTGTTTGTTTTATTTTTAATTTTACGTTAATTTAACGTTAAATTTCAATCATTTTCAGATCAATGGAAAGAAATATTAAGAGGAGAAGAAGCGAGGAAACTTATTAGTGATTCGGAAAAAATAGTCAGCGATGAATCGAAGAGGCATACATCTAAATTTAACGAAGAATATTTGGGCATGCCTGGTTCCTTTAGAAAATTAACCGTTGATTAGTTGGTCAAATTAAATTAATTAAAAGGGCACTAGATTCATTTTTTAGTAAGGGTACTATAGGCTAATAAACTCAGGGTTATCAGAACATAAGTTAACACTAGTACTATATATATTTTAGTTCTTTACTTTCTCTCTATTTGCACTAATAAATAGAGATGGTGAAGATTTGTCAATGAATGTTGTATGTATGACAATTTATTGCATATTTTTATTGAGTAAAAGATAAAAAAATACTAGTATGTTTTCTTTTAATACCGACCAACCTTTCTGTTTCTGATTTAGGTAAGTGTATTTAAATGTGTGTGTGTGTGTGTATGACTGCAAAGATAGTAGTGGTTTAAGAGGTCACAACAATTTGTGTGATCCACAAATTCTTGTTCTGAGTCTGGGTGTTCTTTGTGTTCGTTTCATGTATGTTTGTGAAGTTCCCCGCGACACAGGAATATTTTACGCAAAAGAAAATAATAATATTTTTTTACTATAATCAAAGATTAAGCGAAAGTAAAAAGTATTCATACTTCCATCGATAATCCATACTTATGTCCATACTAATACCATTCTAATATTACAAATGCGAAAGTGTATCTATCTGTCTGTTACCTCTTCACGTTTAAGGCGCTGTACTGATTGAGATGAAATTTGGTATAGAGATAGTCCGAGAACATGAATAGTTTTTATCCTAGAAATCCTCCTTTAGGGGGGTGAAAAAGGGGGTGGAAGTTGCTATGGGGAATCAATAACTGCAGAAACGATTTAGATGATATTTGGTATGAAGATACTTTGATTCTTGAGGAGGCTATCCCGATAACCGACCGCCGAAAGCCTCATTATCAGCGCGTAATATAGGCTAATTGTTACCGCGATACCCGACATACACGCGGGCGGAACCGCGGGCAAAAGCAAGTATATTATAAATGTGTAACACTTTCACACCTTAACCATTAAACCGATTTTAAAAATTCTTTCATCAATGGAAAGCTACATGAGCAGAGCGAACAACAAAGGCTAATTTAACCGACATACACGCGGGCGGAACCGCGGGCAAAAGCAAGTATATTATAAATGTGTAACACTTTCACACCTTAACCATTAAACCGATTTTAAAAATTCTTTCATCAATGGAAAGCTACATGAGCAGAGCGAACAACAAAGGCTAATTTAACCGACTTACACGCGGGCGGAACCGCGGGCAAAAGCAAGTATATTATAAATGTGTAACACTTTCACACCTTAACCATTAAACCGATTTTAAAAATTCTTTCATCAATGGAAAGCTACATGAGCAGAGCGAACAACAAAGGCTAATTTAACCGACTTACACGCGGGCGGAACCGCGGGCAAAAGCAAGTATATTATAAATGTGTAACACTTTCACACCTTAACCATTAAACCGATTTTAAAAATTCTTTCATCAATGGAAAGCTACATGAGCAGAGCGAACAACAAAGGCTAATTTAACCGACTTACACGCGGGCGGAACCGCGGGCAAAAGCAAGTATATTATAAATGTGTAACACTTTCACACCTTAACCATTAAACCGATTTTAAAAATTCTTTCATCAATGGAAAGCTACATGAGCAGAGCGAACAACAAAGGCTAATTTAACCGACATACACGCGGGCGGAACCGCGGGCAAAAGCAAGTATATTATAAATGTGTAACACTTTCACACCTTAACCATTAAACCGATTTTAAAAATTCTTTCATCAATGGAAAGCTACATGAGCAGAGCGAACAACAAAGGCTAATTTAACCGACTTACACGCGGGCGGAACCGCGGGCAAAAGCAAGTATATTATAAATGTGTAACACTTTCACACCTTAACCATTAAACCGATTTTAAAAATTCTTTCATCAATGGAAAGCTACATGAGCAGAGCGAACAACAAAGGCTAATTTAACCGACTTACACGCGGGCGGAACCGCGGGCAAAAGCAAGTATATTATAAATGTGTAACACTTTCACACCTTAACCATTAAACCGATTTTAAAAATTCTTTCATCAATGGAAAGCTACATGAGCAGAGCGAACAACAAAGGCTAATTTAACCGACTTACACGCGGGCGGAACCGCGGGCAAAAGCAAGTATATTATAAATGTGTAACACTTTCACACCTTAACCATTAAACCGATTTTAAAAATTCTTTCATCAATGGAAAGCTACATGAGCAGAGCGAACAACAAAGGCTAATTTAACCGACTTACACGCGGGCGGAACCGCGGGCAAAAGCAAGTATATTATAAATGTGTAACACTTTCACACCTTAACCATTAAACCGATTTTAAAAATTCTTTCATCAATGGAAAGCTACATGAGCAGAGCGAACAACAAAGGCTAATTTAACCGACTTACACGCGGGCGGAACCGCGGGCAAAAGCAAGTATATTATAAATGTGTAACACTTTCACACCTTAACCATTAAACCGATTTTAAAAATTCTTTCATCAATGGAAAGCTACATGAGCAGAGCGAATAACAAAGGCTAATTAAACCGACATACACGCGGGCGGAACCGCGGGCAAAAGCTGGTAAGTAATAAAAGTCAAATATGTTATGCAAACTAAATATTCTCAATCACATAATAGGTATTACCTGCTTTTGAAGCGCCTGACGTTTTAACAAGATAGCCATGGTTCTTTATCATCATCATCATCATCATCAACAGCCTTTACTAGTCCACTGCTGGACATAGGCCTCTCCTTAGAAAGGAGGTTTTGGCCTACTATAACACGCTGGCCAGACGGGTTGGTATAGGGTTTGTGTCAAGTTTTCCTTCTTTCTGCAGTGCTGTTGTCCTGCGTAGTTCGCTTCTTTAGTCGCCTCTTACGACACCCACGGGATGATTAGGGGTGGTGACACTCTGTATTCTTAATCCGTCACCACACGGACTCTTGGTTCTTTATATTACTACCAAATACGTGATAGCATCAAATTTCCTTTTATATAAATAACTATACAAATATCGGGGGTCGTGAAAGTTTTAACTTTCGAATTATACCTGTCAAAAGTTTATTAATTAGTGCTAAAATAAAACATATTAAATTTTCTACAACATGTCCCATAATCAAAATAAACATAGTAACTTATATTAAATAAGTTTGGTTAATGTTTTAAAATAACGTGAGTCACAGAGTTCCATTATTATCTAGTTTATCCAAATTTAATTAGAAACTTTTGATCAGGAAAGCGTAATTAAGTTTAAGTTTGGCAACGAAATTTGTTCTGTAATGTTATTTTCGAACTCTTTGTTAACAAATTTATAGCAATTTTAAAAATTAATTGTTTGTTTTGATTTACTGTCACGCGAAATTATTGTAATTAATGATATTTCTATCATTAAAAGTATTTAAAATTATGACTAAAATATAAAATAACGTCCATGTGATGACGGATTAAAAATATAGAGTGTCACCACCCCTATTCAACAACCTTAATGCTTCTGCACAAGCCTCTCCTTTGGTCTCGATCGCCTGTGCCTACGGTGTGTTAGAAAGACGAGAAGATCACACATATTGTCGGTTATTGGGTAGCTGGTAATCATCTAAGTACCGGAGGAGCTGGCAGTTGCTTATGGATGAAAGAATCTTTTTTTTTCAGGGTTTGTCAAATCAGGGCTAGGATCTGCCACCGATGGGAATTAATGTAAAAGGGATGAATAGTTCCATGCCCTGGATAGGACGGAGGCTCTGTTGTTCCATGGGTCTCATCGTGGTCCGCCCCCCGGCGCCTCCATCGTACCGGTTCAGGCCCAGATGAAGTTCTCTGAAGTATCTGGGCCTGATTCTTGACGGGAGCTGACTTTTCGACGAGCACTTCCGACAGCTTGCTCCAAAGCTGGTCATCGCTGCTTCTACCCTAGGGCGACTTTTACTCGATTTGGGTGGAGCCAGCGTAGCGACGAGACAGCTGTACATGGGAGTTGTCAAGTCAATGGCACTGGGCGGTCATGCGCTCCATGGCCGGTAATGACAGATGTTGTACCGCGATCGCATCCTTCTGCGAAGACGTCATCTCGCAGAAGGAGGCGGCGGAGAAGGCCCTGGAGGAAAACCTCCACTCGGACCCAATTCATCGAAGGCAAACCGGGCGGCGGAGACGCGCTTGCCACCGCCTCATGCCGCCCTGAGTGTGGCCGCGGGTGGACGGGACGGGTTTTCCCGTTTGCCTGCCAAAACGAACAGTCGCGAGGAGGTGACGTCGCGTGTGCCAGACGTCGCCTAAATGGAGAATGTACCCGAAGATGGTGCCTGCGCCATTGCGGGCAGACGCTAGGAGGAGTTCGGATGTTATAACAATAGCAGTTGCCGGATCGGCCCACCGTGTGGTTTTAGTCGGCCCGATTCAGACACACCACCCCGCTGGGGGGTAACGGCCCGAGGGGGTTTCCACAAGGGTGAGAGCTGTTTGTTTGTGTATTTGTCTGTGCAAACCAATGTTGCCATTTATCTTCAAAACTAATTAACAAGACGTCTGCGGCAGAATCAACCTGCCACCGGAGGGCGCCAGAGAGTGGGGAACTCTGGTAGCAGATTGATTACTGCGGTAAGGGACATGTTGGTGACCTGATCGGGCTTCAACACTTAGTGATTAGGGTAGGGCTCTGGCTCCCCTCGGGATAGGGTCTTCTTAGGTGAGGCGTCAATCCGAAGCGGACTTGAAATCACGTGGTCCTCGTCAGAGTACCTGAGACCAGCCGTCGGAGAGGTTTTTAGTGGAAACACCGTATACTCCTGGATTTTGCCTCCCATAGGAGCCGAAGATCCGGAGGATTTTTTATTTTAAAAGTTGTACTTGTTGGATCAATCTGAATTGTTGAACTATCTTGTTGTTTTGTTTATCATCCTCATCAGTGGTACCTGATCTACCTAGATCAGATCGTCGCTTTGAAACAGAGTCGGTATTGGTCGAGGAGATAATTTTTTTTCGCTATTATTAACTATCTACTTTGGCCAAGTTTGTTAATGGTTAAGTCTGAGATGTTCAAGATTTCGCTATGAAAATATCTCATAGTGAAATATATCAGCTATGATGGCAACTACAACAAATATCTAGGTCGACTTAACCAGCTGTATATTCTAGTTTCAGAAAAAACTATAGCGAAACAGTACAAATAATCACCAGAAACCATACAAACAACTTGTTAACAGAAAACAACAAGAGAAGTTAACAAGAGAAAGACAAATATTTTGTCCACTTTGAAGTTACATGTATCTCACATACGACTGTCTGATTCCAAACTAAGCAGAGCCTGCATTATGGTAGGCAGACTGCTGATAAACACACTTATATATTTCTAAATAAATGTAGATATATATATATATATATTTATATATATTATATGGGTGAATTACACCTAGACACAGAACAAATGATCATGCTTATCACACAATTGTTTGTCCTGTGTGAGAATCGAACCCATGACCTCTAGCTTAACAATCAGGGTCACTAATCACTTAATAAACAGGCCAATCGAATAAATTAATATAAATATATTCCAAGTTAATGATCTAACTGAGCGCAATAAGCAAGCCGAGGTTAATTCACACGAACACGTTCTTAGCCTTACTCGTAGTCTTGTTAATGGCAGTGTGCAAACAGTGGTCGATATGAAAACATCAAAAGATACTCCACTTTATAAGTTCAGTACTAATACCTACTGTTGAAGTAATCAGAAAAGAATATAATTTACATAATGAAGGAGTGATTGAAGAATTGATCACAAGTTTTGAAGATTGGATTCGAAAGCAAAATCATTTCAAAAAAAGAGATTTTGGTAAGAATAAAGTTGTTTATTTTTTTTGTATTCAAAACAAGACCACTGTTTAGTTATGATGTTGTCTGCAGTTTTTTATATTAACAAATTAAAAGTTCATTTCTTCCTTTTGGCCAGTTTTTGCCAACTCTTTTCTCACAATATGGGCAAGTAACATTAGCCGATTTAAGTTAATGCAATTTCAATCTCATTTCAATATCTGAGACTTTCGGTGTACCTTATATTGTCAAACGGATTACTTCGACTTTCTTGTATTCCCTACCTTAATTTAATTTCTTCTTATGTTCCATCTGAAAACGAAATTATATTCCCATAGAGGGCTGATATAAGTCAGGCAGATTTAGAACTGACCAATAAGCAGGACAAGGACGACAATTGTTATATTCTTCCATCCGTTTTAAATTAAATAAGAAAGAAAAATCTACTAAAGTTCCAATAATACATAATATAGCACTAAAACTCCAAATTAGTTTTGCAATTTTTAAACTTGACTTCATTTTTTGTAGACACACTCATTTTTTATAGAAACAAGAATCTAAAAAGAACCACATAAGAAACTTGATTATTTTTTTTGTGGTAACAAAAAAATACGTTCCCTTTTTACGCATGAAGTTGATACTTTATATTTTAATTTTAATGTTGATAATGATAATGTTAACAACTTTAATAATATTTGTGTCAATATGCGTTTCGCTGTAATGCTATATTGCCGTAATAATGACTGACAAATAGAAGACTCTCTGATCATGGAGTACATTAAGTAACGTAAAAATAATTCTAAGGTACTGAACTGCCCTTCGCAGCTTTAGTTAAATTTGGTTAAGTTAGAAACGTTAAGTTACAATTCTGAAATAAATTTATCATTGTTATTAGAATAATTGAACATAGCAATAACTATTAATTATTTTTAACGAGCCTAATTTTAATGATGATGACTCAAGAGGCCCTGTAAGGTGGTATACCTTACAGGGCCTCTTGAGTCATCATCTCATCATATTACTTAATATAAATAATGTTGATTTACATAAAGGTATGGTTATATTTTATAATAAACAAACCATTGAGATGAAGCATTGGCAATTTATATTTTTAAATTATGATTTCTAATTAGAAAAATCTTATTTCATCAAAAATATAATTTTAATTGTACTAGAAATTTAATTTTACTCATGTAATAGGCTTATCTACGGGCTAAGAAAGACCCCTCACCATGCGATTTGTATAGCATTTGCTATGTCTATAAATAAAGACTGTAATATAAGAACTGCACGGATGGCGTTGTGGTTTAAGCGGTCGCCACGCCGCTTCCTACTACGCCGAGTGTTGTGGGTTCAAACCCCACATGGGACGACACTTTGTGTGATCCACAAATAGTTGTTCTTCAAGTTTGTTGATCAGGATATATTCCTGATGCCTTTTAAAAAAATCTGTCTGTTTGTTCCGGGTATTCTTCAAAACGGCTGGACCGATTTTGATAATATTTTACTACCAGGTAGCTGTCTATACAATGAGTAGCTTAGGCTATTTTTTCTATCAGAAAAAATCCTAAAAAATTTTGACTGGTCCGGGAATCGCACCCATTAAGGCAGTGCTTTTCGAAGTCGCGGGCACCAGCTGAGAGAACATGATTGGATTGGTTGGCACACAAGATATAATATTCATTTTAAGAATATATTACCAGGATTTCACTATTGTAAAGTTTTGGTCTTATGAATAATCGCACTTTATTCGTGTGGTGAAAATAGTAATTTGATAGCCTTGACATTGGTATGAGGATTAAAGTACTAATAAAAATATAATATCTTTTGTAATAAGGCTTTAACAGTGTATTGTATATCAATTCTCTGTCAATTTGTTTGACAATTGTAAATCAATTTATTTATAAAATATTATTTTCTTTGCCATTTAAATTGACACCACCATCTTTTTCTGTCCAAAAGACTAAGCAAGTATAGATTTTATTTCATAGCCAATTGAATTTGTAGTGTTGTTCAATATTCTTCGTCGACATAAATATTTTTTCCTCTTAAAAAGTTACAAAACAATACTTTTTGGGAATTTTGATCCAAAGATTCTTGTATTTCATTTTACATCAGATTTTTTTATTAATCGTCTCAATGTAAGTTTAAAAATGTTTGTTAATAATTTATTAGGTGTTGTGATAATATAAAATAATATTTAAAAATCTAGACTTTTGTTTAATCAAAACACCAGTGAGATGAGTGTATGGGTTCAATACATCGAAGCGGTGTGTATTAACTCTAACGATCTGTTTGCTCTATCACCTTTATAAGGTAATACTGCCCCCGATAGTTAAAATAACGCATGTAACAAGTCAAAATGGAGAAAAAAATATTTTTCATAAATTTAATGAAAAATCGTTCACTGTCTTTGAGTAAATTAAAATAATTAAATATTACAAATTGGTATTTTTAAGTATTAACAATACAAATATTTTCAAGTTATTTAATTAAAAATGTAAAAAAAACCGTTTCATTATAGTAAAAAAAATAATGCAAAAAATACTACTACTATACTTTCTTAATTGAATAGACGCAAATAGGCAAATGAGGCGTTGAAATCTCAAACGCTTTTCGGAGTACTTTTGGTCTAAATGTGTAGATCTGTACTTTGTTTTAAAAAAAAAAAAGGTGCATTTGGATATATGCGTCTCTTTATTTAAGTTTTTTTTTGTTTTTTTTTTTATATAAATACACCTGATAGAAAGCGGCTACCGCCGCCCTTGAAGTATTCAAAACTATGAAGATAATCCTAACCTAAGTGTAAAAATACACATAATTATATATTAATTGCTTCATCTGACTGACAACCTGTAAATAGATTAACGTACTGTATATTTTCCGTTTAAAGTCTCTAATGATTACACTAAGCAATAAAATAAATTTTTAGTTCCTTCGATACTTTTCTCCCCAACGTAAGGTATTAAGCCGTATAAGACTAATGCGCCTACGTCAAGGCTAACTTTACGAAGTAGATAGGTCCAGGGACTTCCTTTCTGGGGTATACCTCGTTCCCCGGCTATTAGTACCCGAGACGGCGTGCGGTTTTAGTCGGTTCGAGTCCGACATGCCACCGACAGACAGGTGGTATCCGAGGGGATTTCCGCACGGAAAAAAAAAAAAAAAAAGGTCGCGAGTGGTGGATATATACGTTTTTTCTTAATGTGAGAGCAGTTTCCAATTAGTGCATTTGGCGTAAATGGTTACATGCGCCCATTAATTTCGTCTTCGAAATACAATTTAATATGCGCCTGTTAGATTACTGAACTTAAAAAAATATATAAATAATACACCTTACTTACAATCTTAATACAACTTAAATTAATAGCCGAATTTACATGAACATGTTCATCATGTAAATGCCACTATTAATTTAAGTTTTAGATGAATTCGTCTTTTCAACTTTAATGAGGTGTAAAAAAGTATGCATAAGTGTCTTATTTTGTTGTGCTAAAATTGCAATGAAGCAAGGCAGAAAAATATAAAAAACAGGCAGATGCGCCTTTATTTCTGGATGCCGACAATATAACTGAAATTCATTTTTTTTAATAGTTTCTATTAATAATAATAATTATAATAAAAGATTAGTATGAAAAGATTGGTAGCTGTCTGCCAGTCTTAGCTTACTAACAAAACTACCATAAAACACTATTTTGTTTTATTGATGTGAAACAACTACGGCCGAGGGTTGGCGTGGCGAACGCTGTTGGCGTGCCGACGTCTTGTCAGAGCATGCGTCAGGGTGCTGCACCGCTATGTGATAATATAATATAATATGCAATGCGGTGTGGACTCTCCACATTTCATCCATTTTAATAAGCTATCATTTTATACTCAATATTTCTAGAAAATGATTTCGATGTTTCCCATCTGCCAGATGTCACTTTAGACAAGCTAGGTTCTTTGAAATCGTTGCAACCACAGTTTTTCTCCAAATGTGATGCCAAAAAAGGAGCTCTCAGATACTTCGAGACTTCATGCATTTTCCATTCATTTCATTTCCTTCTATGCATTTTTTAGCTATTTAAATTATATTCTATTTGGATCCAAGTGGCTAAATGAGCTATGTTATAATTTGAAATGATTTATATCTGGCTGGTTTAGTGAATTATAAGATTTTTAATTTAAGTTACTTCAAGTGTATACTAAATATGAAAGTTATTACCGACCATTTATATGTATCTTTATTTATTTTTTAATCTTTAATTGGCCATGTAAAGAGGTTACATTCAAATCTGACTTCGTTTCAAACTGATAAAATCCTTGAATCAAGGAAATATTACACATTTTAATACGGATTGTTTTTATATTACTAACATCTACTTTTAACTTCAATATTTCCTATCTATAGCCTCGAAACTAAGGTTCATATTGCCATTTGTATTATAAAATTAACATAAATTATGTTTATATCCTAACTACACCAAATGATATGTTTCTTCATATTTAACAAAATTTAAACAATTATTGGACAATTATGAAGACAATCCAATGCAAATCATCTGAGTGAACATTAACCTGGGTATAATATTGTATATCTTAATTAGACATCTTTGCAGTTGATAAGTTTTTTGTTACCATTTCTCACAATTAAAACGTTTCGTGCCTTAAAATTTGACGTCACAAACAGTATTATTCAATAGCCACAAGATTTTAACCTTTGCCTTTATAGTTTTTTTTAATTCAATTGTTTTGGTATGTCCAGAGATTATAACAATATAATGTTACTATTTTAGATCGACGTTACTTAGAAACATCAATAATATCAGCAAAAGGATCGCTAGAAAGAGCTAAAAATACTTTAGACAAGCTATGTTCTTTGAAATCTTTGCAACCACATTTTTTCTCCAAATGTGATGCCAAAAAGGAGCTGTCAGATACTTCGGGACTCATGTAAGTAAATATAATATTTTCTATTTAAACTGATACCAAAGTTTGTACACAGTACGTGAATAATAATAATATTTCGGACATCGGAAACACAACTCGCACTCTAGTTTCAAACTAAGCAGAGCTTTTATTATGATAGCTAGATTGACTGATAGAATACTTAAATACTTTTTTTTTAAATACATACTTAATATATTTGTATAGTTTATCGTAATAAATTTATTAATCATCACCATCAACAGTCTATAACAGTCCCCTGCTGGACATAGGCCTGTACTAAGTAATAAGGTTTTTTTCTACTATACCACGCTGCACAGACGGATTGGTGTAGGTAATTTCTTTCTCTTCGCAGTGCTATTTCCTGCGTAGTTTGCTCCTTTAGTCGGCTTTTACTGCATCTACGGGATGAATAGGGGTGGTGACACTTCGTATTTTTAACAACTATTCTCATAAACAATGTTTGTTTATGAGAATTGTTGTTCACATTTTTTTTTGTTTTTGTTCAATTGATGGTCACATTTTTGAAGTGAAAACTTCTTTAGGCGCGTTGCGCATTTTTGAACAACAAACAAAATAATGTATTTTTTGAGATGGGGAAAAAACCATTGAACACGCGACAATGTTACCGTTACCGACACCTCTGTATATAAGTATTTACATATATTGGCCCCGTTTATATGAGAGTTGAGTTTGGGTTTAAATACATTAATAATATAACTAAATATAATATAAACATTTACTACGTACAATATAGATATATATTCGTGACGGAACTTTTCGAATCGCAAAAAAAAACCTGTTGACATAAAAAAAACGAAGTGTTCCCTTCTGTCGGCCCTCCAGGAGTGTCACTGTTTTTAATGGTTTAAAGGTAAATGAGCAGCTGGATCACCTGATGGTAAGTGACTATCGCGCTGATGAATACCTGCCACTTAAGAGTCGCAACCGCTTGGTCTACCTTTGAGTCCCCTCATTACAGAATCAGTAAAGGGAGGGGTTCGGGGTATTGAGCGCCATTACTCTCTCGTTCCACAGCATGGCTTCCTTACGATAAAATGTTGTATGCAATATATTTTGATTCAGCCAAATAAAATGAAATATCGAATTTGGAAGGTCGGGTGCTGTGGCGCACGTTGAGCGAGGCCTATGTATGACATTAATGGTACATATAAAAATATCCATTCAGGGTTTATATTAAAAGCAGGTTTCCTTACATAGTGAAAATCAATATTTATTTAGGGTTCCGTACCTCAAAAGGACAAAAAACAGAACCCTTACATGATCACTTTGTTCTCCGTCTGTCTGTCTGCCAAGAACCTTTGTATCGGGAACGCGTGAAGTTGAAATTAAAACCATATACTCAGGTATACGGTCCCTTAAAGCTGTAAAATAATCAAACTCGTAAGTTAGCGTAAAAAAAACGGCCGTTTAAGCCGCTAAAATGCATATTTCGATACTCTCATCATCAAATTAAAATCGAAACAAAATTCATAGGTTACTTTCCGTTGACCTATAACTCTTAAATTTGCCAAGTAACATCGTCTTATGCTACAAGTACAGGAAAAATCAGAAAACTATACATTTTTAAATGAGTCATAAAAATATAGTCTTTATTTAAAGTACGTAATCAATGATTGAGGTACAAGTTCTCTTATAAAACTAAAGAATAAATGTAATTATAGGTTTAGGAAACAAAGTTTTGGAAAGAAACTGTGAGATTCGATTCCTGAACTGTTTATAATAATATGTACCTACAAATATGTACGGAACCTTGGTGTGGGAGGTCGACTCGCACTTGTACAGACATTTTTAATTACAAACATCTGGTTTAAAACTCGTTTTTTTAATGTAAGATATTGTAGACAGTTTTAGAAATGACCTCGCGCATGTTTAACGTTATATACGTCATTAAGTTTTAATCTACCAAGACTTATTTCGACAACAATTCAATTTATATTGCAATATATTCGTGTAAACTAACATAAGTAAATTAAGTCCATAACGTAATAGATAATTAAATTTATAAAAAAATATGACTTTCAACGATTTTCAAAACTAAAACAAAGAAAATACCAGTAAAAAATACTGACGTATACATTTTTATCTAAATTGTGAGATTCGTTAAAAATGTGTAACCTCTAAAATTCTCTATAAATGTACCTTGTATCGTTATAATTTAAAAGAATGTTAAAGGAAACAGATGTAAAATACATGATACAGTGCAACCAGGACAACGTGGAAATTAACCAGTACAAATATTTATCTGATGAAAATGATCATTTGTTTTGTATCTAGATGTAATTTATTTATTCACTTCAACGACCTTCAATGGTTCACTGCTTGACATATGGGCGTCTCTTTAGAAAGGAGGTTTTGGCCTACTATACCATGCTGGCCAGACCGATTAGTATAGGGTTTGTTTCAAGTTCTCCTTCTCTTTGCAATGCTGTTGTCAGACGACATCCATCTCATGAACAGTGGTGGTGACACTCCATATTCTTACTCCGTCACAACATGGACCTTTATCTATAAAATAAGTAATATATTTAAGTGTTTATCAGCAGCCTGCTAACCATTGTAGAGACTAGGCCTAGTTTCGGATGAGACGGTCGTGTGTGAGGTTATTTTATTTATTTATTTTATGTTTGAGAGTTCAGATGAGCAGACAGGTCACCTGATGGAAAGTGAGCATCGCCGCACATGAACGTCTGCAACTCAGGAGTCACAAACACAAACGAGTTGCTGGCCTTTTAGGAAGGTTATTATATAATCATGTTTACGCTTTCTCGAATAAAGCTCCTTGAAATTCTTTGTTAAGGTCAACCACTAATATATACAGCCTACATGTGTATTTATATATATGTGTATGTATATATGTATGTCTGTGTGTATGTATGTGTATATATATGTGTATAGTGTGTATTTGCTTGTGTATAAAATTACGTGTGTTGTGTTGTGTAGTGTATAACTTAGTGATTAGTGTTATAACCTATATGCGCCTACCACTCACGATATATAGGTACTGGCACGCCAATTGAGGTAAACCTGAGATAAATATGAACTTAGTACTTAATCATAGAATCTTCTTAGAAAAATCTAGAAACACTGTGTTCTAGCGTGTCCTTTAACGATAATTACTTTTCTAATTAATTAATCTCTGCTGAACGCATTGTTATTATACTTAAGTCGCCTTATTTAAGCGACAGTAGGCTTTGAAACTAAGGTGTGGACTTGCGATGTAGTCATTGTAGGTTCCAAATGCATAAAAATGGCTCGACTCGTCATCCCATCGGGAAAAGTTGTGGGGTGGTGTGTCGGTGGTATGTCGATAACGAACTTACTAAAACCACACGGTGTGCCACACTGCACCTGAAATAGCCAGATTCGGGAACTGCTGTTATTACGATACTTTAGATACATAATTGTTATCATCAATCATCATCATCAAGCATCATCATCAATCATCATCATCAACGGCCTATAGACATAGGCCTCTCCTTAGAAAAGACTGTTTGGCCTACTATACCACGCTGGCTAGACGGGTTGGTATAGGGTTTGTTTCAAGTTTCCTTCTCTTTGCAGTGCTGTTGTCCTGCGTAGTTTGTTTCCTTAGTCGGCTCTTACGACACCCACGGGATGAATAGGGGTGGTGACATTTCGTATTCTTAATGCGTCACCACACGGATTAATGATTATAATACATAATAATTTTAATTGAGTCAGTACAGGTAAATGTAAATATGGGGGTGGGTTTCCCCTCCACCCGCATTAGTTTGGCCAGCCGCGAGGGGGCGGCGTCCGCGTGTGCCGGACGTCGCCTAAAGAGAGGAAAATTTTGAGACGGAGCCCGCACCAGGAGCGGGCTGGATGGAGGGGTCCGGATGTCTTAATAATAGCTGTTCCCGGATCCCTCCTATTACAGGCACAGAGTGGCACACCGTGTGGTTTTAGTCGGTCCGAGTCCGACAAACCACCCCGCCGCAAACCCCGGTGGGGTGACGGTCCGAGGGGATTTCCACACGTTAAAAAAAAAAAAGGTAAATGTAAATATAATAATTATTTCAGAATTTCCATAATTTATTATTATACAATTAACCAATTAATATTGATTGAAATTCAAAATACCTTTATTTCATAAACAAAATAATTGAAATCGTCTTTTAGAGCCTTCTAAAGTCGTAGATGAACACACACACAATAGCAACAATCTCTGTTTTGTCAAACTATGTTAGTACATGTAATTGGCTTCAGTAATTAATTGTAGGAGTGTCATGTCTGTCTGCAATGACCTTCAGGAGACTAACACGTATCCTCTGCAGGCAGTGAAGCCGCTTAAATAAATAAATAAATATGACATAATTATAACAAAAACTTGTGGTTAATTTACACAGAAATCATTAAAATACTGGGTACCGACAATGCGTCCGAGGGCACCTTAATCATTTTCTGCATAGCTTATAACATAATTACTTTTTATACGTTTAGGATTAAAACGTTACAATAATGGATTGTATTTTAAAAGCACTAAGTGTCTCCAAATAATTTTAACTTTTCAATTTTAGCTGTAAACTAATCCTAATTTAAATAGTTTTGCATTTTGCATTTTAGATGTGCATTAAATGTTGTGTAAATTTTATTTTATTTTTACACTTCCTGCATTACAACTTGCACGAGGCGGACTTAATGCCACATGGCATTATCTACCAGTCATCCTTAAGATGGTTCAGTAAAGGGCATGGCAGGTGCACATGTATTATATAAAAAGAAGAAACTATGAAAATATAACATTAATTTGATAATACTATTTAAAGTTCACAGACGAATACATAAATAACTATTAATATATTATACATACGGAATGAAATAAATACAATAATGTCTGAGGTGACGAAATCATGAGTATATTTCTGCTAGCTGTTTCCTGTAGATTTCTCGGACTTTAGCTTTGAACGTATCGGGACTTCCTGACATCCTGATCTCAAGTGGGACCGCATTCCATAGTAGGATAGATTGAACAGCAAATGAAGAATGAACAAGAGAAGAAGTGTGTAATGAAAACAAGAGTAAAAGATTATTAGTGGACCGAAGATCTCTGTCATGGTTGGAGCATAGTGAGTTTAGCTGTGAAGTAAGATAAGTAGGAGCGGATTATTAAGAAGAGAATAAAAGGTAGTCAAGGCCCGCAAGCTACGGCTCTGATGTATAGGTAACCATAACAGCTGGGATCGATAGGCAGCCACATGGTCATACTTGCGGAGGTTGAAGATGAATTGAATGCAATTATTGAGAAGACAATCAAGTTTGTTGAATAGATTTGCATTCCGGTCGAGATAGCATACATCACTATAATCGATGATTTGAAAAATCAAAGCCTGTACAAGCATTAATTTGGTAGTATGTGGGAGGAAGTTCTTTAGCCGATATAGTGATTGCAAGGTTCCAGTGACTTTTTGACGTACGTTCGCAACCTGTGTTTGCCAAGTGAGGCTGGAGTCAATCCATAAGCCAAGATCTTTGAGAAATGGACTGATCGCTATGTCGGATCCGTTGTAAACGATCGCCGGTAGTTTTGATGTGTCTAATCTGCTCATCATTCTGGGGCTACTTATGAGTATGGACTGACACTTGGAGGGATTCACACTTACGCCGAACCGCTCAGACCAATTTTTGATTGCCTCCAAATCACTGTTTATGTATTCGACTGCTTCTGATAAATTATCGAGGCTAATCCGTGAATAAATTTGAAGGTCATCCGCATACAAATGATACGCATACTAAAGATGAAGAGTAAAGAGATTGATAAAAATCGAAAATAAGAGAGGTGATAAAATGCCACCCTGTGGAACGCCAGTGCCAAGATCACACCAACTTGATGATGCTTCATCAATGCGGACCGACTGCCGACGTCCACGAAGATAACATGAAAACCATTCATGTGCTTCGTTGGAGACATTATAGTGAGTGAGGATAGATATAAGGATATCGTGGTTGACCGTGTTAAAGGCGTTGGAGAAGTCAATCAGGACCAGGACAGTCACTTTTGCGTCTTCCACTCCAATTTTAATTTTACTTATGTTGTGGATACATGAACTTGAGTAGTGTTAGTGATGATTAAGCGTGGCAAGCATTTGTATTTGCCATATGCCTTGTATTTTGCCATTTTGCCATTTCATGCTGTGTATGCTACATTTGGATTACTGTCTAGACTTTATATGTATCTATCATCTGTTTCCTGTAACATGTAATGGCAGTAATCTGTAAGTGTACCTTTTAGAAATAAATAAAATAAATAAATTCCTAATAGCACTGCTCATTTTAAGCATAGCTGTAACTGTGCTATGACCAGGTCTGAACTCTGATTGAAATGGGCTGAGGATATTGTTTTGATGGATAAACTTTGAGATGATATTATATTAAGATTAGAAAAAAACTATTGACTATTACCTTTACATTGTTTTTAGTTAACACTATATATATCGGACCGACTAAAACCACACAGTGTGCCACATTGCTCCTGGCAATAAAATAGAATTGACCCGGGAACTGTTGTTATTAAGTCATCCGAAACACTCCTAGAGTTAATACTTTCCTCCCCGAAGTAGGGTATCTGAAGCCGGCCTTCGGGATGGTTTTTAGTGGAAACACCACATACTTCTGACTCCTGCGTCCCTAAGGAGCTGGAGATCCAAAGAGATATTCCCAAAAAAAGTTCTCCTGAGTATTTCTAAGCTCTTAGTCCACATGACCTTACGTGTTCTGCTGTTCTATGAATGGAGGATACATTTAGAGTGAATACTCTATTCGCTGAAAGAAATCTACATCAATTATTGTGTACAATCCATACTTCCCTACTTGAATGTGAAAGTGAGTTCCTATATGCGCTTACACGCCTAAACCACTCAACCAATTTAAAAAATTCTTTTACCAATGGAAAACTACATTATCAGCAAGTAACTTAGTTTACCGCGATAACTGACAACCATGCGGGCGGAGATGCGGGCAAAACCTAGTAAATAATAATAATTCCATATTATGAATCCATAGTACATAATAAAAAAATTGTGATGGCCGAAGAGTCAGTATTAGAAAAAACATTTTACTAGATACGAGTATATATCAAAAAATATGATTTTAACAACAAAATAACTAGAAGTAATCATAAGTAAAGAAAAAAAAATTAACATATAAAATACATGCGTTGAAGAATCCCCCTCTGGACGTCCACGCTCAGAACACCATGCGTCTGGGCGTGGATGTCTGGGCTGCCCCGCGTATTCTGAGGAGCGCAACAGCGCTCGATTCCTTCCCAAAAGGCCGGCAACGCGTTTGTGACTCCTGAGTTGCAGACGTTCATGGGCGGCGATGGTCACTTTCCATCAGGTGACCCGTCTGCTCGTCTGCCCCCTCTAACAAAAAAAAAATTGATTGAGATAAATAAGTAAAATTATTTCATTGAAACAAAATAAATTTAGTCCTGTACTGTTATTAATTAAATTAACCTACATTGAATTGGACAGTCTGTACGAGCAGCAATCATTTTTAGGATGCAGTTGCTACTGTCTCTCATACGCCTTAATAATGAGAAGACTATTTTACGTATTATGGTATCATAAAAAAAACTATCACTGATAGTCATCTGTATGTGCCGCCGATAGTTTTTTTTTTGTCTGATATATCCCCAGTTCTATTTTCATAAAATATAGAGAATTTGTTCTCTTGAAATTCAAATTTTTGTTCTCTTTACTTACCTTGCTGAACCATGTTGTTGCGTAGTACCGCATCTTAGCTGTCTTTTCAATGTGAAAATGATAATTGTTGTATTCAAATTGTCCAGGGGTGGGGACCTAGTGATCTGAAGGACAGGCTTATACCTATGTCAGACACCAGTTCCTCACATATACAGAAATTTATGTAACCACAATCCTAAATTTCACAAAATATAGGTAAAGGATGAATTAAATGAAAATGTAAAGAGAATTTTTAGCTTTAAAAATTACAAGTGATATATCTAGCCTCTTCACTCACATTTATATACGAGACAACCCTTTTTTAAATATGTTGCCTAACATGTTATAACAATTATTATTAAAATAAAAGTGTTATCTTTTTACAGAATACAAGGCACCATGCAAAAATTGTTACCGAATGACTACAGACTGTATTTGTTAAAATTTACTTCTGCTGATTTTAATACATCAACGTTCTTGGATTTTCAAAGATTCACCATTTTGGTAAGTTTTGTTTTGTACTCAATGCAATTTAAAAATATTTTTCATGTTACAGTGGGCAAACGGGCAGACAGGTGGCTTGATGGTAACTGATTGCCCATGGACAACTACAACTCAACCCGACCAGAGTCAGGAGCTGAGTCTGGTTTTAGGTCCCGGTAACCTCACTCACTCAGTGAAAAGCAACAAACGAATTGCTCTTTTGTATAATTTTATTTGAGACCTTGGTATCGTATGGCTCATCCAAGTTAGTGATTTTAAATTGATTTCAAAAACCTTTACAAAAACTGTTGGATTCCTTCTTAATGTTAAGTTTCTTTATATTTTTTTCTACAGATGAGCGAATATGCAAAATTATATGATTATTCTATGGGCTATACTTGCGTCATTGATTGCAGAGATGTAAACTTAATGTCGCTTTTGCCTAAGATTAATATCTTAGATTTGCGCAATGGAATGACAATTTTAATTGTAAGTAACGGTTTTATTCTTATTACGTGATTACAACTGCACGAGGTGGACTTAATGCCACATGGCATTATCTACCTTAAGATGTCAACCTTAAGATGGTTCGGTAAGGGACATGGCCCGTGCACATGTAAAATGAAAAAAAGAAGAGAAGTTATGGAAATAAAACATAATTTTTTCAGTATTTACATAATATCCATCCAAAGTGACACAGGCTTTTTTAACAACTGCTGCCGTCTGCACCAATTCAATGTTATACCCAAGCTTTTTGCCATCATCCAGATAGTTTAAAAATCACTGAAATTAGAAGTTTACTGAATGGAACGATAAATAAGAAGGTTTTTTTTTAAATAGACATAAGGCTTATGGTAAACGAGTAGACGGCTCACCTGATGGCAAGTGACTACCACCGGCTACCACCTACAACTGAAAAAACGCAAGTGCAGTGCACCCCTTTGAGTCAGAGTCATCAGAGGAGTAAAGGTTTGGACTTGAAAAACCTCACTCGCTTAGTTAAAAGCAAAGAAAGATTGCTTTTCAACGGTTTTCTGTGAGCCCGTGGAATCACTTAATTCCTTATATGTCGAAGCATGACTGTCCTCCAGTTTTACGAATAAAAGCAATTATATCTTAAGAAAGATACGTTATATTCATACTGCACGCACAAAATATTTGTTAAGTAACCGTACATACATCTATTAATGTATTTTAGAAAAAAAATATACACTTACCTGTGGTATGATATTCCTTTGTCATTATTTAACTTCTGGTCGTAATTTGTGCACTTTCGGAATGCACAGGAAGGCATTTTATGAATTTTCTCGAATTAATTAGTACATGCGCTCTCTCGTAGTGGTCCTAATTAGGACCACTCGCGTTTTGTGTGTTGGTGGAATATCTACCTCTTGTTTGTATATAATATCATTGGATAAAGGAATATAACTCATAGCTATTATAGCAGTTTGTGTGTCTATAAATAATAAGAAACCTAAAATATAAGTGTATTTAGTAATATATAAGTAGATCATCAGTATAAGTAGATCCGTGTAGTGACGGATTAAGAATACGGAATGTCACTACCCCAATTCATCCTGTGGGTGTCGTAAGAGCCGACTAAGGGCGCAAAACAACGCAGGACACCAGCACTGCAAAAAGAAGGAAAACTTGTCACCAACCCTATTCCAATCCGTCTGGCCATCGTGGTATAGTAGGCCAAAACCTCCTTTCTAAGGAGAGGCTTATGTCCAGCAGTGGACTATTAAAGGCTGTTGATGTGATGATGATGTGATGTGAAGTAGATCATCATCATCATCATCAACAGCCTGTCATAGTTCACTGCTCGATCTATATCTTGCAGTGTATTCGCCTTTCTAAGTCCTCCTTTAGAGGTTTTGGCCTACTATACCACGGTGACTAGACGGGTTACTATAGGGTTTGTTTCAAGTTTTCCTTCTCTTTGCAGTGCTGTTGTCCTCCGTAGTTTACTCCCTCAGTTGGCACTTTTTTATCTAACTTTAGATATAAAGACATTATCCTCTGTATAAGTAATCGAGAAAACTAAAACTCTCCCTCCTTTTTGTCCCTAACGAAGGTCAAATTCGGCAATTAAATCTATAAGGTATAATTTGGTTTTACAGGAAGGCTACAGCTTGAGAATCAATGCGATTCATTTGATCTCAGCATCGAAAGCTGTGGAAGCATTAGTGGCTCTACTAAGACAAGTTATCAGTGCTAAAATAGGGAATAGAATCCATGTGCACAAAACTCTCGAGTCACTATATAAACATATACCAAAAGAAGCATTACCAGAAGATTTAGGGGGTAACGAGAAGACTATCAAAGAAGTTTATGGTACGTGTATATTTTTGTAATTTTTTTTGTTCATAAATCCCCTCGGATACCACCCACCGGTGGGGTGGTTGTGTCAGACTCGAACCCGCTGCCGCGCCGTCTCGGGTACCAGTTGGAATGGGGGACAAGCAAGCAGACGGGTTACTTGATGGTAAATGGTGACCGCTGTCTATCGACATCTGCAACTCAAGAGTCACAAGTGCATTGTGATCATTTGAGAAGCCCCTCTTCACACAATTAGGAGAAGCGGGGGGGGGGGGGCAGGTTTCTGATTACCTTACTCACTCGGTGAAAACCACAGCTCTCACAAAGTAATTACTATTCGTGTATATTATGAGGATGTCCAACCACTTTTGGATCGGAGGCTCAAGTGTGATTTTATTTCACATCTACTCGATCATCACGGTGAGTGCGTTCAGCGCTGCGATTGGCCCGCACTGAGGGCCAAGTGCGAGTTTATATTACTTCTACTCGATCGCCACGGTGACCGCGTTCGATTTTACGATTGGCCAGCGCTAAAATCTCCACCAATAACGTTGCGTTAAACGCGCTAGCTGTCGAGAACGAGTTGATCTGAAATAAACTTGCACTTGGCGCTCAGATGGGAGATCTTTAACAAGGTGTAAAACTATTTATATATATTTTTAAAATAACCACTTTTCTAAGTATAAAGTTTTTACTAATACTTTATATGATTCTTGTTATACCGAAAAATAAAAAGCTAAAATCTAAGCGACAAACTACGGAAGAAAGAATACAGGCAGGTTAATTGTCACGATGGGTTAGTTGAATTGGAAACTGCATTAAAACCTTATTAATAGTTACTCCTCATTAGGTTTTTTAAACTGTAACTTAAAACTAGACAATGCTTTGCGACCTTAATAATTATTTGTTAGTGTTACAATAATTCGTTTTCTTTTTTTATAAGTTATATCATTTGTTTACAATCTTAATTATCACATCTTACAATCACCTCAGTGATTAAACTTTCAATTAAATAACTAAAACAAAATAACCCATTGTACTTATCATATGAAAAAAATGTATGATCATTTGGAAAGAGCTAAGTTTAAATTCTATTCTGTTCATTATTCAATAGAATTTAACAACATATTATTGTTGATAACACTTTTTACTAATAAAACTCCTGTTCTATTAAAATGTACTTGCGTAAAAATAAAACAAATCTGACTATTTGCCATTATATTTTCCTTTTCAGAAAACTGGAAGAATGTTCTAAGCTCAGAGGAGAACGTTGCGTATTTCAAAGACATACTCAGGGCTGGAACTGATGAAAAATATCGACTAGTCGATAAGTACAATGACCAGATATTGGGCATGCCGGGATCATTCAGATCACTATCAGTTGACTAGTTGAATTGGATGTATGTACATATTAAAGAATTTAAGCAACTGTTTAGTATTTTTAGTCTTCGTCTTTGTTATTTGAAATGAATGAGGGGGGAATACGACAAAGTATGGTGAACTACGCTTCTAAACAAAATATTTACACTTAACATGTATTAGGGGTGTGCAACAAAGCAAAACCAACCTAACCGCTCATACAAGAAACTTGATTTCAATTTGAATTGGCTCATAAATGTTGGTGAAAACATACCATACATGAAGGAACGGTGTTAGTGTTTACAAATCAGTTATTTTAGATTTTGTAATGATTTGGTAAGATTATATAATTATTAGAAAAAAACAAACAATTACTCTACGTTATTAAAGTAGTGGTTTTTTTTTGTGAATTTGACAAATAAAAATTAAAGATCTGTTAAAGAAAATATGTGTTTGTTTATGTGATCTGGAAGAAGAGTTCTGATGTATTTTTCGAACATAGTTCAAAGCAATTTAATCTTAAATTTTATAACATATTATTTATTTGTGTACCAGCTAGGTACACAAATAAATAATATCGCATTAATATATTATTATTTGTCACACTCACAAGTAATGAAAATAATAGTTTAACCATTTTATGTTTTTACATCGAATATATAAGGTCCAGAATAATTTAAAAGTTTCACTGATGATTTGCCCAATGGACTATATTGTCTCAAAGTGAAGTTGTACTTAAGTACAGTTGTAAGTAGTTACGCTACCTCTTGGCTGCAAATGCAAATGGTACAAGTGTTACATAGTGTCTAACTGTACTTGTAACTTATTTACAGTATTCGACTCTAGAGCATCTGTGGGAGTTTGATTAGTTAGATATGCATTGGGTTAGTAGTTACTAGTTAAGTTAATTGGAACAATAGAGTATTACAGCCTCTGAAATAAGAGGTTCGTCGATTGACTCCACGAGCTGTTTACACCACGGTGCGAATCACCCATCGGCGCTTTTTGAAGTCGTCGTTTGGCACCAATGGTGTAAATCGACAAATATTTTTATTGTATGTGGTCGATTCGCACCGTGGTGCGAACCACAGATGTACTCTTTTTAACGTCGTTGATTAAGACCAACGATATTTTAGTATTGAAAGATAGTCAAGCAGAAAAGTGTTTATCGGTTTTAGATTTATTTGTACAACCTAGAGTGTTGCGTACATGTATGGATTTTTAATAAGTAAAGAGTTATGTAGAGACCTAGTTTAATGCAAGTTACTAGGATGCAGGCAGTTAAAAATATTTGTAACCTAAGTGAAATGTGCCAGGTTTGATTTAAAATGTATAAGTTAAGGAAGGTACACGACTTCCTTCTTAATGAGATAGCAGAATCATCTAGTCGATAGTAGGTGGCCCACCCAGAGTACATGGGAGATTAAAGAAGAAAGACCCACTATTGTTAAGTTTTTTTTTTATGGTATACAGGGCAATCCAGCTGAAGGGTCACCCGATGGTAAGTTACCATCTTCACACATGGACACTTGTAAATCAAGACTCACTAGTGCGATACCGCTCTTTAAGTGCTATAATAATAATAATAATAATAATTTTATTTCAGACATATACAGTCCATAGGTTGTTTAGTAATGGGTTAGAAACAGAAAGTACTTAACGTCTATATTAGTATTGTTAGTAACGGCACTTAATAGTAGAAAGGCATTCAACTAAGCTTTCCTATTGCTATTGCCACCCAATGCCTTTGTATAGGACAGTCAGCTATCTCCCCCAGATACTAGGTAAAATTAATTTAATTTCATTAAAATTCAAAAGTAAACAACCAGAGCATTTATCAAATTCTTCTTTGATCGATAAAAGGTATTAAAATGAATAAAATATGAAAACGTTGTTTTAAGTAGACGCCTGTCAAACACAACTCAGCAACACCCAGAGGTTTAACTGGAAGACAATGCAACATATTTCCAGGAAGGTTGGATAAATATATAAATAAAAATGCCTCGGTGGCGCAGTGGTAGCGTAAGCGACTACTGTGCTAAGGTCTCAGGTTCGATTCCCGGGTCGGACCAAATGTTTGTATGATCTGCAAATATTTGTTTCGGAGTTTGGGTGTTTTCTATGTATAATATGTATGTATTTACAAAAAAAAGTATTAAGTATCTTATAGTACAAGTTCTGCTTAGTTGGAAACTACATGGAATTGTGTGTAAGACGTCCGAAATATTGCATATATATGTACAGTAAAAGCGTTAATAATTGCATCAAATAATCATTTCGTTTAGATAGGTGATGGCGATACGAGTATATCACTATATTCTCTATCGATGTTTACACTAATTAGTAATAAAAAATCTGTATTTATGAATAAAAGCAGGATATATAAGAATAAAGGTACGTAATAATCAGCATCATTTACGACTATTAAAGGCTGTCCTTTAGTAGTCCACTGCTCTCTCCTTAGAAGACTTCAAGACAAATCACAATTGAGTTATTTTACGTCTAACTTCAAGTAACTTTTATACTGCCGGAACTATTTCATTTAGCAAAATTTTGCAACCTTAACATTTACCTGTTGCATTACAGGCGTTCGTATACGCCTCTTTTGGTTTATTTTAAATTACTATGTTGCTTCTACGATGTAACTACAGTTTATATAAGATGATTGTATGATTAAACGATTCGATCCCCACATGGGACAACACTTTGTGTAATTCACACAAGTTGTTTAGAGTCTGGGTATTCTTTATGTCATCAGCGTAAGTGAAAATATTACCATTTAGAAGGTTGAGACGGCAGAGTTTTTTTGATACAGATAATGAACAATGTGGGGCCAGGAATGCTGCCTTGTGGCACGCCGTAGGTTATAGGTAGTTCATTACTTGTCCAGTCCCCTATTTTAAGACATTGCCGTCTAGCACTTAGGTAGCTTCTGAAAAGGGAGAGATGTTATCCTCTTATACCATTGAGCTCAAGTTTGTTAACAAGCACGGGAACAGACACCATGCCGGAAGCCTTGGCAATGTCGAGAAAAATACCTTATAAATATAGCGTTTTGTTTTCGATCCAGCTTCAGTGGTATAGTTTCACTGGTTAGGTCTTGCACAGCATTACTGGTGGATATGTCCCGAAATCCGTATTGTGTTGAAGAGAGAATTCTGTATTTCTCTAGGTACTTAGTGAGCCTGTTATTCAACAATCTTTGGAATATTTTCGAAAGTGTGGTGAAATAGAGATAGGCCTATGTATAATTGTTCGGTAGGTCTTTCACCCCCCCTTGTGGATCAGGTGCACTATTGGTATTTTGAATGCATTTGGAAAAGTACCAGTAGTGAACGACAAATTATAAATGTATGTAATAGGTGGGATTAAAATCTTTTTGTATCTCTTGAGATAAGAGCCTGATATATTGTCCGAGCCGCATAGTCACTTAGATTAGATTATTTTTCAAGAAACTAATCTCTACTTCATCTGGTGTTAAAAGGGCAAAGGTATGGTTGGCACAAATCGCGTCAGTAGGTATCGGAAGTGTGTGAAAGAGTGTGGGATGTTCTTTTGCCAAGGAGCGACCGATATTTGCAAAATATGTAGGTATTGGCTTCATTCACCAAGCGTTTGGGGTCAGTGAGTGATGGAAGTTCAACTACACTTGTTTTTTTAAGTGGTCGTGTGGGTTATAGATTTAACTGCTAGCCAGAGCTTTTTATTATTGCTGCATTGTTTTTTTTGCGTTTTACTATAGTTAACTTTAGCATTTTTTACCAACAGTTAACAATAGTTCCTGTACCTTTTGTGAGTGATATTGGTGATTTCATTTTATGGGCATCTTTTCTAGAGTTATTTTTAACACGATTTTATTATTTATATGTACGTATGTAACGAAATCTTCAAACTTCGAATTAAATTGAAATCAAGGACTTATCAAGGACCGATAACACACAATAATTTTATAAATTTTGGCGGATTATCCTGTTCAGGTTCATCAGAATGAACGGGTTCTTCCTTCCCTTAAACTGACAGCATGAAAAATATGGTCAAAGATCACTACTTAAGTTCTTGAGTACCTACTCTTTGCTTTCAATAACTGTACATGACTAAATGATTTCATGGTTATCAATATATATTGTATATATTATTTATGTATGTGTATGTATGTATAGTTATATATAATTTATACATTTATTTTTACACTACTGTAGCTTCAATACACCTAGACTACCCATTGTTCCCTTCCATCTAATGTCGATTTGTCCATCCAAAGGTTGCCTGTAAAAGATTGCTCTTAGCGGTAAGGCCGCCCATTGTACATATCTGTTTGTAATATTATCTAACTTATTGTAATTGGTGTACAAGAAAGAATATTCTATTCTTTTCTACTCTAATTTGAACTATTAACCTAATTTAATGTTAATACGACTACACGACTATACGGAGAATGACTAGGAGGTCCTATGCTGCCCGCATAGGACCTCCTAGTCACTAGTTCTAAAAGCTTACATCTTTCATTCAAAGATTTATCTAAAACAAAAGGTTTTGGTTTGGGATAAAAAAAAAACAATTAATTAAATTGAATTATTTTGCTTGAAGGCAAATTTTGTTATGATATCAACAGTTATTATCCAATTACGAAGTAAGAACTGTGACTTTGTAATTGGATCTTCATCAAATCTGCATATTTATTTAAAAATTTTGAGCAATTTGTTTTTTGCGTGGCTTCGATCGCTTTAATATTAATTTTGTTAATCAATTCAAGAATCCCTCGTCAATATTCGGTCCTCGTCGTATTTTCTTGATGAAAGACTATCTACTAGACTATCTGGACAACTAAATGACATGTCATTTTTGCAATTTATCGTGATGATGGTTGTGTAGTTAAGACGCAAAAGCGTAGGAAACAAAGGAGATGTCCATTTTTTATACGGACGTTGGTTTTTTATATCCATTGTGGCGGAAATAACATTGATATATAGCAGCTAAAATTAGGAATTGGAAATTAGTTAGATGAAAATTTCAAATTCAAGACTGCTAAATGCCTGTAAAAGAAAAAACAAAGTTATTTTTTGTCAATAGATATTTAAAAGGTAGCAAAAGTTTAGTTCGTTTTCGTTCTGAAAACGTGCCAAAGTAAAAACTATTTTCTAAAAATAATAATAATTTAATTTTTTAATTTATAATATTAGTTCTTAGGATTCTAGTAAGCGAAAAGGTTCGCTACTGGAATTTTTCGAAAATAAAAACCATTTCCGAATAACTCTTTTATATTCACATTAACAGAATAAGTGTTTGCTATGATAAACAAAACTTTTGAAGCCAATAAAAAATAGTTTTGTTTTTTGTTTAAAAATTAAAATGTTCAGTCATAATATATATTATTTTCTTTAAGCCATTACAGTAAATAAATTCAAAGTGCGGCGTTAAAGACACAGTCTTAAGGGATTGCATTCCTTTTCAAAGCACTGAAACAAGACAAGAGTTATTCAACCACATTGACATATCAATGGAATGAAGGGTTACTATTACATAACATATTTTACCCCAAGCCACTTTACTAATACAAATATTATATTAACTCCATTTTTTGGCATGGTAATTATTCCTACATTTAAATCATATTAAGTTCAAGAAATGATTAGCTTTAGTCACAGTGATTATGAATTTGTCATAGACAAAGATAAACGGCATTAAAATCAATCAAAATAAAGTAAATTACGACTTTATTTAGACCTTTCGCGAGTCTCGATAGCGTAATAATAATAATTAAGTAGAAGTGTTTTGTAAATCAGTCTCAATTGTGATGATATGATTTATTAATCATATGATTTATGTGATTGTAATTTTATTCCATCCCCAGTAACTACCGCCACTCATGAACAAATGCAACTCAGGATTCACAATAGCGTTATCACCCTTCAAGTTTCATTCCCTTGAGCCAGGAAAGAAATAACAAAAGAATTGCTGGATCCCTGTTTTGGCCTACCATACCATGCTGGCCAGACGGTTTCGTATAGGGTTTATTACCAGTTCTCCTTCTCTTTCAGTGCTGTTGTCCTGCAGAGTTTGACCCCTTAGTCGGCTCTTACGACACCTTTGGGATGAATAGGGGTGGTGACACTCCGTATTTTTAATAGTATTCTCAGTTATAATTACTTAATATGTTTAATTTTTTTTTTTTTTTTTTTTTTTTTAATATAGAATTAAATTTTTAGCATCTCTTGTTTAATGAATGCATTCATGGTGACTCATTCCGCAGTATACATTTAGGTACTATTGTTGGTAGCAAGATGGTACTCAAGTAATAGACTCCACAGTACATAGAAATGCTTCTAAGTCTGTATGGAGACGTACGGAGACGGAGCAAGGTGAGAATTTCCCAGTCCACATTAGTCGTAGAATTGATTTAAAATTAATGGATTTTGCACCTGTGTTCAAACTGGGGCAAAATCGTAATCTAATAAATACTATTATGTCGCTTCATTAATCGATTTAATCATTATAACAGACACCTGAATGAAATTCTATATAATCGACTTATCATTATAATTATTGACTTATGTTAGTTCTAGACAGGATTCAATTGGCAAGTGTTTAGAAATATTAATTTGAAAAGGTTTTTTCTTCACTACCCACGTAATATGGAAAAATATATAAGAAGGATATGCGGGATAGATGGCTTTCATCTAAACATTTCTGAAATGAAATCCAAATTTATATATCTAATAGTTGTTGATGCATGTGCTTTTTATAAAATACATGTTTAAACTTTTGTTGTTCGATTACTTCAATCATAACTTGTTTTTATAAGACCTGTAAGTTCATATTTTATTGGAAGTAGTAGTATAAATAGTAGTATACACAAATGTTATTGAAATCACATATCATGATTCGGGTCCTCTCCAGAGAATGGCCTAAAGCCGGGCGTCCGTCGGTGTTGTTTTAGTGAAAACACCATAGTCCTGACTCTGGCGTTCCTAAGGAGATCCAAGGGTATATTCCATCCCTAAATAAAGATAAACACATAAAATAATGTTCTTTCTAGAATTTCATATTATTTATATTCAATATTGTTTGTTTGTGTTCTTGGTTCATTAACTGAGTTATATTTCAAAAATTATTCTGCAACAAACTTTTAGTGTAGATTCTTGATGATGATAAATAACATAAGACCTCAATATTCTGTTATGAAATTTGTTTATTGCCATATGCTATTACCAATCATTAAAAAATAAAACTGATAAGTCTAGACTAGTTAGTTCGTACTTCTAGGTTTACCTAAGGAGCGAAATCAAACACAAGCGTAACGTTGAAAGTGTAATTCAAAGTCAGATTGGCGGTAGTGTAATAATCGGGCTATATAAGATTATTACAACTACCCCCGTATTATACATACATCACACCCCTTCACTTAAATTATAATTAGTTATACTAAAAACAATAAACTTATGCGCTAAGATCTTATGAACTACGAGCATGATCTACATCGAAACCATATCTTATAACTGGCTTACGTACTCGCCTGGAACGGCCCACCGTCAATGCAGTATCGTCTGTTACCACGCTTGCTGGCTCCTGCGTACACGACCCGCTTGCCGTAACCACTGGGGCACTGGTTCCTGAATCTACTACGGGGTCTGGACTAGGACCTGGCCAATCAAACTCTGGTACTAATCTACTTTTTAACTGATTAACGTGTCTCTTGACAAGCGAACCGTCATCCCTTACTATTTTATAATTACGAGATCCTAACTTTTCCTTTACCTGTCCCCTACACCATTTATCTCCTTCACCATAATTTCGCAACCACACACTATCGTCTTCACTAAAATCCCGCGACAGACCTCTTGCATTCTCTATCTGTTTTCGTTGTACCCTCTGAACTCTGTCTACTACTTCCCTTTCTGCCTTTAAAAGATCCAACCTAGTCCTAAGATTCCGTTTTTGTAATAACGCAGCTGGCGATACC